ACTAGATATAAGGGAGAACAAAGTTAAGAAGGTGGTGATAAAACAAGCAGCAGTTGCTTTTGCTGATGATACGACATAGTTAGGAGCAAATAAAAACCAAATGGAAAAAATACTTGAAATCACCCAACGTTTTTTCAAGCTTAACGATATACAGATAAACAGCCAGAAGTCAAAGTTGCTTGTACTGAACTCGCGGTTGAGTGAAAAGGAGAAAAGCGTCAAAATTGATGGGTGCCCGCTTGAAGTAGTCAGTAAAGATGATTTAACTAGACTTCTGGGGGTCTGGCTAAGCATGAAGGTCAATGAGAAATTAGTAGTCAAGAAGGTTAAAGGAATAGTAAGGCACTTTACTAGAACAATGCAGGCCAAGAACCTTTCAATTAGTCAGCTGATATATATAAACAATATGTGTATCATACCAAAACTTACATATATGTTGCAGACAACCAAGATTTCACATGTTGGTCTCAGAAGAATCTATCAGCCAATAGTAAAGCTAATCAAACTCAAAATTGAACTCCTAGCTATGGCAGGTAACTATTTGATATCACACCCAGAATTAGGAAGATGCAAGATGTTGCATCATGAAGTTTTCTCCTGCCAACTTGTTGGACTTCAAGCATATTTGAATAGTGAAGACCAAGTTGGCAATATCACCAGACTTCGAATAGCAGAAGGGTTCTTACTGGCAGAGCTAGTAGTTGACAAGTGGTGACTAGAAGATATAGAAAGGCTGGAAAAAATATGGAAACACAACTTGGCAGGTCTAGTTATGGCAAAAGCAAGCAAACAAGGAATAAGTTTACAAAGAAATGACATGCTATAGCAAATATATGAATATGGTCCAACAATCCATGAAGTACTTGATAAGAAAACATTTATAAAATACTATGGTGAAATTAGGAAGTATAATATTTACTACATTAGACAGCTGTTCGACCGAAAAGGGTGTAGTCTAATAACATGGAGGAAATTTAGACTACTAAGAGCCAAGTCTCAGAAAGGTCATAAGTCCAAATGGTTTGAGGAAATTGAAAAGAAGGTACTTCAGAATAGTGAAAATAGAACAGTCAGAGCTGAATTCCAAATGCAAGGCACAAATAGTATATTAATGAAAGTGCAGTTAGAGCAGTTATCTGAGGATAAAAGAAAACGTGAATAGGTGCTTGTTAACAAAGATAATGATGAGACAATTGTTGGTAAAATCAGTAAAAAGCTTAAGACCAAAGTGTTAATCGATCATTGGGTTGGTCAGGACAGATCAGAAAATGTTCTAACCTTAGTCGAATGTAGAAGTTGTAAACTGAATGGTCAAGTAAGCAGTAATGCATGCCAGCAATGAGTAAAGAAAAAGTGTGTACTAGGGGTTCTACCCTATAGTAATCAAGACCACACTGGGATTAAACCTCTGGTATTAGAAGAAGTGGTGGGATACAGAGCAAGCTCAGGGGTGACAGCAGTGAATAGCACAGAAGAGGAAGTTGCGAGCATAGTAATACTGAAAACGCATGAGGAGAGTCTAATTAGACAACAAGAGTTTGATATAGCACTAGAGAACAAGTTAGTCGAACAACTAAAAACAAACCTTAAAGCGGAATCTGGAGAATACCTTTTCTACACAGATGGTTCAGTGATTAAGGGATTATCAGAATGT